CTTCCTCCTGTTCTGCGTTTATCCGAAGGTGTAATTGCGTTGTGCCCGTTTACAGCATGGCTGTGATATTTGTTCCTTTCGACCGACACACCCGACTTCCACAGTGATTTGTTTACCGGGTTAGCCTCCCTGTTTTTGTGGAAATAATATCTTGGTTTCCGAAATAAACGTTGGCTCCCCAGCAGCCACGCCTTAAACCACGTACTAAATGGGACGAGATTGCGGCGAACGAACAACTTTCACTCAGTGTCGACTTTTACACAAACATCTGTTCATTGTTTTCTTTGATAATGCTGCTGATCGACTGTCTGGCTTGATGATGGGGACATTATATTTTTTTTTTATCACAGTGAAGATTCTGCACCGTCACAGTAAAAGCTCGCCCCCCCCCCCTTTTTTTCCTCTACGTAATGTTCTAGGGGCGTGTAGCTGTGTAGAGAAAACCTTGTGTAATTCCCCAATAATATTAATTATTATTCATGCAAATTTAAACACGACTCAAGCCCTTTGAGGCCCGGCCTCTACCAAATTATTAATGGAAGAGGCAGCTCGCTAGGTTTGAGCCTTGCTTCATTTACATTACTACTCCCAGGATGTTTGTCCATATCGGAACGGCAGCTCAGAATAAAAGAAATTGCTACCGTCGGTTGAAAAGTGTACACGTTTTCATTTTGGTGCTGGGGTTGCAGAAAATAGGACAGGGAAAAGTTGCAGAGCTGAATCTAGAGACCACCGAATGTTGATGGGATACGTGTGGTAGGAGGAGATAAGCCGGGGCTGTGTAGAGATGTCAGTTCTTAGGGAGCCCTGATTGAGATTCCAGGGTGAAGTCCCTTGCTGTTTGAAGACTACAGGCTGTCAAAGACAAAAAGATGCTGGACAGTATATCTCTTAGTGACAAAGACGTATCAGTAGCATGTTTTATTATCCCCATACGTGTATGCTATATTTTAATTAGGAAACAATTCTTTAATTAAACGCTCCCCTTCTCCGAAGCCCCATTCTCTGAATGAGCTAACCAGTAAACGGAAGAGAGAAAACAGGGGTGGGTTGGAGTGGGGGATGGGGACTTCAGTTTCTAAAATAGTATGTAAGCAAGCGGTGCAATCATGCAAGGGCGATACATCGGCCAGAATATGGTGAAAATATATGTATTTGGATTCTGTCTGCCGGTGATATGTTCACTGGGTAGAGGTGCAGATGATCTTGCAAATGGTCCAGCATGTGTAACCAAGCTGTGCAAGCTAGTGTCCTATACCAGTTTTGAGGCAGTGGACCGACCGTTCAATGTTGCCAAATGACTAATTGGCCGTGAACGGGATTGTTTATGTGTTGGCCTGTGTGATTAGGTTAATTATGTGATGACCCTGTGTGATAATGTTAATTATGTGATGGCCTGTGTGATCAGGTTAATTATGTGATGACCCTGTGTGATCAGGTTAATTATGTGATGGCCTGTGTGATCAGGTTAATTATGTGATGACCCTGTGTGATTAGGTTAATTATGTGATGACCCTGTGTGATAATGTTAATTATGTGATGGCCTGTGTGATCAGGTTAATTATGTGATGGCCCTGTGTGATCAGGTTAATTATGTGATGGCCTGTGTGATCAGGTTAATTATGTGATGACCCTGTGTGATTAGGTTAATTATGTGATGACCCTGTGTGATAATGTTAATTATGTGATGGCCTGTGTGATCAGGTTAATTACGTGATGACCCTGTGTGATCAGGTTAATTATGTGATGGCCTGTGTGATCAGGTGAATTATGTGATGACCCTGTGTGATCAGGTTAATTATGTGATGACCCTGTGTGATCAGGTTAATTATGTGTTGGCCTGTGTGATCAGGTTAATTATGTGTTGACCTGTGTGATCAGGTTAATTATGTGATGACCTGTGTGATCAGGTTAATTATGTGTTGACCTGTGTGATCAGGTTAATTATGTGATGGCCTGTGTGATCAGGTTAATTATGTGTTGGCCTGTGTGATCAGGTTAATTATGTGATGACCTGTGTGATCAGGTTAATTATGTGATGACCTGTGTGATCAGGTTAATTATGTGATGACCTGTGTGATCAGGTTAATTATGTGATGACCTGTGTGATCAGGTTAATTATGTGTTGGTCTGTGTGATCAGGTTAATTATGTGATGACCTGTGTGATCAGGTTAATTATGTGTTGACCTCTGTGATCAGGTTAATTATGTGATGACCTGTGTGATCAGGTTAATTATGTGTTGGCCTGTGTGATCAGGTTAATTATGTGATGGCCTGTGTGATCAGGTTAATTATGTGATGACCTGTGTGATCAGGGTAATTATGTGTTGGCCTGTGTGATCAGGTTAATTATGTGTTGGCCTGTGTGATCAGGGTAATTATGTGATGACCTGTGTGATCAGGTTAATTATGTGATGACCTGTGTGATCAGGTTAATTATGTGATGACCTGTGTGATCAGGTTAATTATGTGTGGGTCTGTGTGATCAGGTTAATTATGTGATGACCTGTGTGATCAGGTTAATTATGTGATGACCTGTGTGATAATGTTAATTATGTGATGACCTGTGTGATAATGTTAATTATGTGATGACCTGTGTGATAATGTTAATTATGTGATGACCTGTGTGATAATGTTAATTATGTGATGACCTGTGTGATAATGTTAATTATGTGATGACCTGTGTGATAATGTTAATTATGTGATGACCTGTGTGATAATGTTAATTATGTGATGACTTGTATCATAAGGCTAATTATCTGATAAGAGGTGTGATAAGGTAATTATCTGATGACTTGGTCATAAGGTTAATTATGTGATTACCTGTGTTTTAAAAATAATTATCTGAAGAGAGGTATGATAAGGTTAATTTTCTGGTGACTTGTGTGATAAGGCTAATTATCTGATGAGAGCTGTGATAATGTCAATTTTCTGATAACTGATGTTAATTTACTGATGGCCGGTTCAGTGAGGTTAATTATTAACTGCTGACCAGAGTAATGAGGGTAATTAACTTTTGGCCAGTGAAATTTTGTTAATTTTTTTAAACCCCTGAACTAAAGTTAATTGCCTTTTGATTTATAGTATGAAATTAATTAACCTTTGACCTGTAAATTGAGACTAATTAACTGTTACCAGTTGATTGACTCTTAGCCAGTGGAATGCAGATAATTAAATGATGCCCAACTGAATGAGTTTAGTTGACTGGTGACGGGCGTAATAAGGCTAATGAACAGATGGATGATGGGATATGCCTAGCGCCTGGCTGAATATAATTAATTGACTGCTGATCGGCAAAAGTCTAAATAAACTTTAATGAAAGATTACCAATGTCCATTAAATTATAGTAGATAACTGGTAACATGTTTAGGCATATATGAGAATATTTATATTCTAGTTTATGTTTCTCTAATCCCCCCCCCCCTCCCTCTCACTCTCTCTATCTCTTTCTCTCTATATGTGTGTATGTATATGTATATATATATATATTTATATGTATCCAGTTTAACCAATTCACTTTAATAGTTCCCTATGTCTACTATTCTTAAAATCGTCATTTGTTTCCTGTTTCTGTTATCCCCAAATACTTTAACTGTATCCTGTCTCCACTATCCCCCAATATTCTAGCTGTACTCTATTTCCACTATTCTTCATTTCTACAACTGTACAATGTTTCTACTATTTCCTATTCTTTAACAATGTCCTATTTGCAGTATTTGACACATTGTGCCAGTTTTCTGTTTACCCTATGTAATGTATCCCGTCTACTGCCCCCCCCCCCCTTCCATGCACCTTCGCCTATCCCTCATATGCCTGCCACTGTCCCCACTCTAACATAACCATGTGTCTACTATCCCCCTTATACCTTTCACTGTCCACACGCTATCTAACATTACCATGTGTCTACTATCCCCCTTATACGTTTCACTGTCCACACGCTATCTAACATTACCATGTGTCTACTATACCCCTTATACCTTTCACTGTCCACACGCTATCTAACATTACCATGTGTCTACTATTCCCCATCTACCTGTCACTGTCCACACGCTATTTAACATTACCATGTGTCTACTATTCCCCATCCATCTACCTGTCACTGTCCACACACTATCTAACATTACCATGTGTCTACTATATCCCTTATACCTTTCACTGTCCATACGCTATTTAGCATTACCATGTGTCTACTATTCCTCATCTACCTGTCACTGTCCACACACTATCTAACATTACCGTTTGTCTACTATACCCCTTATACCTGTCACTGCTCTCAAGCTATCTAACATTACCATGTGTTTACTATTCCCCATCTACCTGTCACTGTCCACACGCTATCTAACATTACCATGTGTCTACTATTCCCTACCTGTAACTGTCACTGTCCACACGCTATCTAACATTACCATATGTCTACTATTGACCACCTACCTGTCACTGTCCACACGCTATCTAACATTACCATGTGTCAACTATTCCTCATCTACCTGTTACTGTCCACACACTATCTAACATTACCGTTTGTCTACTATACCCCTTATACCTGTCACTGCCCTCAAGCTATCTAACATTACCATGTGTCTACAATTCCCCATCTACTTGCCACTGTCCTCACTTTATCTAACATTACCATGTGTCTACTATTCCCCATCTACTTGCCACTGTCCTCACGCTGTCTAACATTACTATGTGTCTACTATTCCCCATCTACCTGTCACTGCCCTCAAGCTATCTAACATTACGATGTGTGTCTGCTATTCCCCATCTACCTGTCACTGCCTTTAAGCTATCTAACATTATCATGTGTCTACTATTGCCCATTTACCTGTCACTGTCCTCACGCTATCTAACTTACCGTGTATCTACTATATTCACCACCTACCTGTCATGTCCTCACACATATCTAACATTACCATGGGTATAATGCCCCCCCCCCCCCCTAATCTACCCGCTACTGTCCCCACGCTATCTGACAGTCGGCTGTTGTTTTTATCCTCAGCAACTACAACTTCACCACTGACGGATTCCACGCAGCAGCTAATAACGCCAGCCTATGCCTGGCCACAGGGGTGCGAGGCGGCGTTGACTGGATGCGAAAGTTGGCCTTTCGGTACCGCCGCATGAAGGAGATCTACACCACGTACAGGAATAATGTTGGCGGTAAGCGGGGCTTTGTGTGTGCCTCTCTCTCTCTCTCTCTCTCTCTCTTCTCTCTCTTCTCTCTCTCTCTCTTCTCTCTCTCTCCCTCTCTCTCTTCTCTCTCTCTCCGGCTCCCTCTCTCTCTCTCTTCTCTCTCTCTCCCTCTCTCTTCTCTCTCTCTCCCGCTCCCTCTCTCTCTCTTCTCTCTCTCCCGCTCCCTCTCTCTCTTCTCTCTCTCTCCTCTCTCTCTCTCTTCTCCCTCTCCCTCTCTCTCTCTTTCCGTTTCTCTTTCTCGCTCGATCTTTCTTACTGGTGGTACTCAATGGTACCCCCCCCCCCCCACTTCCTCCTCCTGGGTTAAACAGAGGGGGAACCACTGAGGTCGTTAAATATTATATATTAATAAAGTAACAGAAAATATATATTGCTTGGCAATTATAGAAAGAAGTACAAAGATAGAAGAATGCACTAGACAACATAAACATCGAAAGCTTTAGTTACCGTGCCGAGAATTGAACCAGTCACCTCCAGGGCGTGTGTGCCTCGCCAGCTGAAAAAGAATGGGAGAAAAGGGGGGGGGGGGGGTTACCAACTTAACCTGATCTGAGCCACACGTACTGTACCCAGTCTAGACCAGTTGACATCCCAGCATGCCTCTACACAGAAGCCAAGTTCCAGAACCGACCTAGGACATCCACTGAGATAATAAGGATGGTCTCCTTGACGAAGTGGTCAAGCCGTTTACCTCCCGTACTTAAAGTTCTGGGTTCGTTTTACTGATGCTTCGTTGGTGGGGCTACGGTGTTCGTGCTTTTTGCGACGCTCTCGGTCAGCGGTTTGCCGTTCTGTGGAAGAGAACAACACAGTGGCTAGCCCGAGCTCCATCAAGTCTGGTGATCAATTGGAGCCGCCTTCATGTAGCGGCAAGACTCTCGCTTGCGGATTCGATGATTGTAGGTTCAAATCCGAACAGAGCCAGACATAGTTTTTTCTTTCTTGATTAAATGACTTTGGTTGACTGACCGACTTAGCCTTAAATAGGTATCAAGTAAAGTCTTGGAAAGTAAAGGCGGCCGGTGTGATGTTGACCGTATCAACTACCGAATACTAATTGGGATAAAAAATATAGGTCTAGGACTAAATGCCTAATACCCCAGAAGTATATAGTATGTGAGGCAGAACAACATTTCTGAAACAGATAGAGTATAGTATGTGAGGCAGAACAACATTTCTGAAACAGATAGAGTATAGTATGTGAGGCAGAACATCATTTATGAAACAGATAGAGTATAGTATGTGAGGCAGAACATCATTTATGAAACAGATAGAGTATAGTATGTGAGGCAGAACATCATTTATGAAACAGATAACGTATAGTGTGTGAGACTGAACATAATTTATGAGACAGAAATGCTAGCTTGTTCTAGACTGATATGTTGGAAAAGGGTTCTGTACTTGACTGGTTGTTATTACAAATCCTCATCGTGGCTGACCTAATGATCTGGTATTGTGGGTCAACTTAGTTTAATAATGGATACCTTCACAATTTTCTCGGAAGTAAAAGGTGGAGCCCACTGGTACATGCAAAATGTGATACTTTCAAAATAGGGCCAGCAGATTGCGGGCGTCAAAGGTTCTTGTTAACAAAAGTAAAAGCGTCTTTCCAAGCCAGTGGCACCGCAGGCATATGATGCTAGACCCGTGTTGTTACAGACCAATCCGTGTGGTCAGCATCTGCCAGCCACATTTACTTCCCATGACATTGGCTGGTACCATTTTTAGTTTGTTTAGGCTGGGTAGACATGAAAGTCAAGATAAGTCATTTTGTTTTCCCCATCGTGTGGAATCGAAACTACGTATATCCTTTACTCTATATAACATCAGGGACGACAGCGAGAACAAGATCTTAGCCTATAGTCATCACCATCATCGTCACCAACATCAACACCACAATCATCATCATTATCACTTTTCAAACTGACTAGCATTAGCGGCCATGGTTCGCTATTTTAGATGATCACCAGAATCGTGGATCAGGTTAAAGTTCTTGTGTCTCTCAAACCATCAGGCCCCACACATCCAGGTGTTTATCGCCGTATCTGTTGCTCTGGGATAAGCTCTCCAGCTTGCCATTTGTTGGGTTTATTCCTTCCCCGCAGCTCCTGAATGTCCAGGTTTAACTGTAGTAGTCAATTGACGCATGACCCAAGTGTGTGCTGTATAATTTCCTTGCAGGATTGCTGGGCCATCAGAAGAGAGAACAGTGGCTGCAGCTGCGGCAGGAGATCGAGACTCTGACAGATTCCTGGCTGACGTTGGCACTGAAATCTCTACAGATAATTAATTCTAGGTAGATACTGTAACCATAACTAGAATGTCTTTGTACTGAAAGCCACATGGTCAAAAGAATATAAACACACACACATACAAACAAACACGCACACACACACATTAAAAAAAAAACGCACATAAAAGGAAAAAAAACAGTTTTAAAATAAAGATACAGACGGCATGGAGTAAGGATATGGTTGAGGGTGTTAGTTGTTGAGGGTGTTAGTTGTTGAGTGTGTTAGCTGCTGAGGGTGTTAGCTGGTTGAGGGTGTTAGTTGTTGAGGGTGTTAGTTGTTGAGTGTGTTAGTTGTTGAGTGTGTTAGTTGTTGAGGGTGTTAGCTGGTTGAGGGTGTTAGTTGTTGAGTGTGTTAGCTGGTTGAGTGTGTTAGTTGTTGAGTGTGTTAGCTGGTTGAGGGTGTTAGCTGGTTGAGGGTGTTAGCTGGTTGAGGGTGTTAGTTGTTGAGGGTGTTAGCTGGTTGAGGGTGTTAGTTGTTGAGGGTGTTAGTTGTTGAGGGTGTTAGCTGGTTGAGGGTGTTAGTTGTTAAGTGTGTTAGCTGGTTGAGTGTGTTAGCTGGTTGAGGGTGTTAGCTGGTTGAGGGTGTTAGCTGGTTGAGGGTGTTAGTTGTTGAGTGTTTTAGCTGGTTGAGGGTGTTAGTTGTTGAGTGTTTTAGCTGGTTGAGGGTGTTAGTTGTTGAGGGTGTTAGTTGTTGAGGATGTCAGCTGTTGAGGGTGTCAGCTGTTGAGGGTGTCAGCTGTTGAGGGTGTCAGCTGTTGAGGGTGTCAGCTGTTGAGGGTGTTAGCTGTTGAAGGACTGAGCTGACAGAGGGTGTCAGCTGTTGAGGGTGTTAGCTGGTTGAGGGTGTTAGCTGTTGAAGGTGTTAGCTGGTTGAGGGTGTTAGCTGGTTGAGGGTGTTAGCTGGTTGAGGGTGTTAGCTGGTTGAGGGTGTTAGCTGTTGAGGATGTTTGTTGGTTGAGGGCATATACTCCATTATGGGATAAAGGGCTGAAAAAGGTGTTTTTTTTGCGAACATAATTATACCGCTGACATCATCATCATGTCTGCATTGTTGATAGAGCATCTCTAGTTGTATACAGTGCTACTGGATATTTATGATCACATTATTTTAGTTTGGTGACTGTTCAAGATGCTAACTAAATGTTGGTGATTGTTTGACATGTTAGGAAAATGGTGATTATTGTACAGCCTGCTTTCTTCCCATGTTGGTTCTGGACCCCCATTTGGGAGGGGGGGGGGGTGGAGGGGAATAGATCCACTGCCTTGTGAAAGGCGACAAGTTAAGGGTTTGCTAAAACCGCATGGTTGACATATGCAGATAACACAGCCTAGCTGTAAACCACAATGCAGTGAACCAGCCACCCTTTTGGGGTAAAAGCAGGGAAAGGAGAAGAGAAAAACGATCTTTCTATTTCAATGTTGATAACTGTCTCCAGTATTACACATTCCCTGTGTGGGGGAAGATCAAAATAGAGCCACTGCCTTCACAATAAGCATGTCGTAAGAGTCAACTAATTTGTGACTTTCCTTGATGTCGGAGAGCATCTGCCTGAGAGTCAGTGAACCAAAAATCTGCATACAAATAAGTCAGATCTGTAAAACAGATGTGCACTCAACTGTCAGGTTCTAGAGCAAGACAAAAGTCTAATGGTGGACAACAACCAGTTATAACCGCCCGAGTTTATAGCTGCCGAACGTGAAGAAGGGGTATCTAACACATCATTTGTCTAGAATATCATATTTTATCTGCATAATGGGTGAGTCTTCATCTTCTGACATATCAGTCTAGAACCAGCTAGCATTTCTGTCTCATAAATGTTGTTCTGTTTCACATACTATACTTTATCTGTCTCATAAATGATGTTCTGTCTCACATACTATACTTTATCTGTCTCATAAATGATGTTCTGTCTCACACACTATACATTATCTGTCTCATAAATGATGTTCTGTCTCACATACTATACTTTATCTGTGTCATAAATTATGTTCTGTCTCACACACTATACTTTATCTGTCTCATAAATAAAGTTCTGTCTCACACACTATACTGTATCTGTTTCATAAATGATGTTCTGCCTCACATACTATACTTTATGTTTCACAAATGTTGTTCTGCCTCACATACAATACTTCGTCTGTTTCAGAAATGTTGTTCTGTTTTCATACTATACTCCATATGTTTCAGAAATGTTGTTCTGTCTCATACACTATACTTTATCTGTTTCACAAATGTTGTTCTGTATCACATACTATACTTTATCTGTTTCACAAATGTTGTTCTGTCTCACATACTAAACTTTATCTGTTTCACAAATGTTGTTCTGTTTCACATACTATACTTTATCTGTCTCATAAATGATGTTCTGTCTCACATACTATACTTTATCTGTCTCATAAATTATGTTCTGTCTCACACACTATACTTTATCTGTCTCATAAATAAAGTTCTGTCTCACACACTATACTTTATCTGTTTCATAAATGATGTTCTGCCTCACATACTATACTTTATCTGTTTCACAAATGCTGTTCTGCCTCACATACTATACTTTATGTTTCACAAATGTTGTTCTGCCTCACATACAATACTTCGTCTGTTTCAGAAATGTTGTTCTGTTTTCATACTATACTCCATATGTTTCAGAAATGTTGTTCTGTCTCACACACTATACTTTATCTGTTTCACAAATGTTGTTCTGTCTCACATACTATACTTTATCTGTTTCACAAATGTTGTTCTGTCTCACACACTATACTTTTTCTGTTTCACAAATGTTGTTCTGTTTCACATACTATACTTTATCTGTCTCATAAATGATGTTCTGTCTCACATACTATACTTTATCTGTCTCATAAATTATGTTCTGTCTCACACACTATACTTTATCTGTCTCATAAATAAAGTTCTGTCTCACACACTATACTTTATCTATTTCATAAATGATGTTCTGCCTCACATACTATACTTTATGTGTTTCACAAATGCTGTTCTGCCTCACATACTATACTTTATGTTTCACAAATGTTGTTCTGCCTCACATACAATACTTTGTCTGTTTCAGAAATGTTGTTCTGTTTTCATACTATACTCCATATGTTTCAGAAATGTTGTTCTGTCTCACACACTATACTTTATCTGTTTCACAAATGTTGTTTTGTCTCACATACTATACTTTATCTGTTTCACGTTGTTCTGTCTCACATACTATACTTTATCTGTTTCACAAATGTTGTTCTGTCTCACATACTATACTTTATCTGCTTCACAAATCATAATTCATATGTTTTATATCTCACGCTTCACCTGCCATTATAATATGCGAGTGAGACAGATCGGACATTATTTATGAGACACAATATCAAAGAAAATGGATAATAAAATTGAGGTTAGAAATAAATTTGAGGCACTCATCGGAGTGCAGGAGGATGTGACACCTAAAAGTTATCCAGTGAAGCAAGTAACATCATCATCTCAACAGCTTAAAAAAAAGCACCCTACATTACATTACAGAAACAAACTGAAGCAAACTGAAGCTGATAGAAAAAAAGAAGAAATAATTTAAAACAAACAGGGACAGAAACAAATAACCATGTGTGTAGGAACCATACAAAAGAAATCAGAAGCGCTATAAGGAGATAAAAGACAGTTTATTGAAAACTTGTAATATAATAGAACAGCTCCTGATGCAAGAGACATGTTTGAAGAAATTAAAACATTAAACGGCACATTCAGGCCATCATTTTATGTAATTATAGTTCAAACGGTAACACATTAACACCAAAGATATATTAGATAGATGGAAAGAATACTTTAGAAAAATATATCAGGATCTGACAAGTAATTCAGTTAGTTAGTTAGTTAGTTAGTTAGTTGGGTTATCCTCATTGCACTCCGGACATGTCCATAGGTGCTCAGATCCTCCCCTCAGTATGAACCCCAACGTCCGATGGCTAATAGTACCAGTTCTATGTTGATTAACAAGTCTTCTGGCGTAGCTGGTGTGCGTCTCGTTTTTTGCTGTGCCGATCTTAATTCCCAAGTCTGCCATTCTGGCGAGTGATGTGGATTCACTGCCACCAAAGTCGTCTATCCTTCCCATTTCTCTGAGGGCATTGATAATATCAGCATGATCCATAGGCTGACCGTCGGTAGTGATAGCGGATGCAGCCAACCTGTCAGCTCTTTCATTTCCATCGACGCCTGCGTGTCCCGGAACAAAAATAAAGGTGACTCCACGGACAGTGGACTTCTGTAATGATTCAAGCCATTGTCTTCGCACTGAACCTGCCTGAACCCTCCGGATCATACTCATTGAATCACTGAGTATACACACGCGGGTGTATTTTTGTGTTTCAAGCCAGGCAAGCGCTTGTGTCACTGCCATCACCTCCATCGTCATGCTGCTGGTTGTCATGGAGAAGGCGCCGTTGGCTTCTTTGACTGTTCTGCCCGCTGAGCGTGCTGTAAATGCCCATGCGCTTCTTCTTTGGCGTATAACGGATCCGTCTGTATAGATTATTGCATCTGTTTCGTCTGAATTTTCACCGATGAGAGCGTTGACCTCTGCATTAACAGCAACAGGATTCTCTTCTCTACATCGCCTGTTGAGTGTGATAATACAGGAAAATGTACAAATAAACGCCTGAGGCACAGGTATCCATTCTGCACCAGGTATGATGTCGGTTAGGCTGCATATTTGCCTAATAACATCTTCTGCCCGACCTAGCCACGATTTCCCCCTCTTCAGTCTGTCGCCCTTTTCACTAAAAAGCGCTTGATGCAGTGGGTGTTTCTTATCAGCACATATTTTGAGATATGCCCGAGCCCTCCACATCCTGATTCTTTGGTTCATTGTTGGAAAGTCAAGTAGATACCTCATTGCTCCACAGGATGTGTCTCTAGTACATCCCAAAATAATGCGCATGGCTTCATTTTGCACCTTTTCGAGTCGTTCAATCTGGGTAGCACTGACAGTGAGGATGGCCAGAGCGTATTCAATGGGGGGAAAGGACCAGACCGTAGAATAGAAGTATTAGTAGTCTTTGCTCAATGTTGGAAGCAGCCATAATCCTCATTGCAGATAGACCTTTGCGTGCTTTTGTTATCACATGGTCAACGTGTTCCCTGAATGACAAGCTGCGATCGAACCTCACCCCGAGAAACGTCATAACGTTGGTTCTGATCAATACATTATCACGCATTTTCACTTCTGGTAAGTCCGACTTGACAATGTGATTGTTCAAAGAGAACCATGACACTGATGCCTTCGAAGGATTGACATAGGCATTGGAACCATCACACCAGGCGGCAATTCGATCGAGTTCTTTGTGCATAGTGCTGGCGATCTCCTGTCTATCACGCCCTCGTCGATAAATCAAAATGTCATCAGCAAATGACAAAGTCCTCCCCTTTCCATTCAACTGCTGCTCGGTGATCATCACCGTATAAACGTTGAATAAGACTGGTGATAGCGGTGATCCCTGTGGCAAGCCTGGACATATCGTTTGCGGTTCTGAGGACCAGCTACCACATCTTAGTACAATCTTTCTCTGGAACAGGACCGCAGCAATCCAGCGGATCAGAATAGGATTAACTTCTAGTTTAAGCAGTAATTGCATTAAATAATCGTATGGTACTTTATTGTAGGCATCTTCTAAGTCCAACACTGCCGCACATGTCTCTTCTTTAATCTGAAATCCCTCGTACACATCGTAGGCGAAAACTGCAGCATTGAACCATGTCTCTTTATTTAACCTGTACCCTCCAAGTGTTGGTGGGAACTTATCATGTAGTTCCAAGTAGCTGGTCAATCTTTGTGCGACAATTTTTTCCAAAAGTTTGCCAACAGTATTCTGCATCGAGATGATTCTGTAGCCGCAGATCTTCGAGTGGTCTTTATTAGGCTTTGGTAGTGGGAACAAATAACTATGAAGCCATTCCTCTTGTATCTGGCCACTCTGGATGCTGATATTGAATTCCTTTGCCACGCTTTTCAAATCAGCATTCGACATCATCAGCATGTCGTTGTATCGGATGCCGTCAGGGCCTGGAGCAGTGCTGCGCGATTTCTTGAGGCAAGTTCTTAAGGTATCTGCAGTGATTGTGAGATCAGTGCCTAGCACAGTGTTCTCGCACAGCATCGACAGTTTCATCTTAACCCCTATTCTTGTAGCTTCGTCTTTTTGGTCAGTTTGCTCCAAGTAGCGCGCCAGAAGGGTTTTTCCTTTATCAGCATCAGTTCTCTGCCATATCAGGTCTGTACCCTGAAAATCAGGGATACCCCTTGGTCGTGCGGCACCGTGCATGCTCCGTTGAAGGCGCCAGAATGTCACAAGAGATCCCTCGGAGCAAACGCTCTTGCAGAATTCGTTCCATTTCGCTGTCTTAGCTTCCTTCGCAATTAACTTGAAAGCCACTGTCTGCTTGTTGACCTCATCTTTCAGACTGATCAGGCGTTCAGGAAGTGACGGATCAATTTTCCTTGCCTTTTGCCATGCCTTGACAGCTTTCCTTTTTTCTAGCCACGCCATGTTGACTACTTCATTCCACCATGGTGGCTGGGCCCATCTCTCCCGCCGTCTGCGATCTGCTCTTGTTTTACGTCGTCGGATTTTGCTAATGGCATCTTGCCCTGTACGGTCATATATAAAAGCAGGCACATTGATTACATGACCTTTGTTGTTGCTCTTCTCTACCAGGACGACGCAAGGAAAGTGATCACTGTCGTGGTATCCCAGTGTGCTCCACCTGCATCCTGATGCAATGGAGGGAGACACTAGGGCCAGGTCAATTGCCCTGTCAGAATCCCCTTGTCGTGTTGCCATTCGGGTAACCTTTCCGTCGTTCAAGCATACTAGATTGGCAGACACTAGGGCATCCTCCAGGTCTTCCCCCTGTTTATTAGTGATTACATTGCCCCACTGGTGTCCTCTGGCATTGAAATCTCCGCAGTAAAGGACTTTCTTTTCCTCCGTCTGGAGCAAACTCTGCCATTTCGCTGTATCCACCTTTCCATTGCAGGCGTACACATTGACAATCACAAACTGGGCCGGGCCCATCACTCTGACTGCGTGTACTTGTAGGTCGTCATTATTCCACTTAGACATGTCCACCTCAGACACCGGTATGTGGTCACGAACAAGAATGAGCTGTCCGAGGTGCCGTCTATTGTAGAAGGATTGGAAGCCCGCAATTTTGATGATCTCGTCACCGAGGTGTGTTTCCTGTAGGACAACAATGTCGTTGCTGTAGAGGAGCTTCTCAAAAATTGGTCGGCGTTGACTGAACGAAGCGCAGTTCCAGTAGAGAACACGAACATACTTTAAACTGAGTCTCTCACATTTCAGCCGCTTCCTGCAGGCGCCACCGTGCTTGCCTGTTCGCGATCTCCTTGTCCGTCTACGGGTTGTTTTGAATTGGTAAATAGTCGCCATCGGACGTCGAATACACCCTGAGGGAAGTCTAAACTCACGTGCATGTACTCCATTGCACGGTTCAGACCCCATTCCGATGAAACTTTCACATTATACGTGAGCGAAAATAGCTAATTTGCGCCATTCGCCTCAACGGACGAAAAAGCGTACCGCCATTGTGGCTGTTTACACCGGAAGTTTTTCAAGTAATTCAGAAACAGCTTATCAAGGTGACGATAAAGAACTAAAGAAATCTACTGGATGAGGTACCATTAGCAATACACGGTATGAAGAAGGGACAACAAAATCTTTCAGCAGGAGTTTACAGCTGAGGAACTTATCATATTCAGTCTTTCTCAGTATCATTCTCATTGGACTCACAAAGGGCCTGTTTTTAGGAAAACAAAAAGAAAGGTTCTAGTACTTATCATAAATTATCTTAAAATGGTGCTGGTAGTTCCCCCCAAAAGTGTATATTTCAGCAGTACTGAGGGAAAGGGATATCTTAAAGATGCCGGTACTGCCTACCTCTATAAACAAGTCATGGTCTCACATATAATTCTCCCGTACCCTTCTCTATCTGTCTCACATACCCTACTCCGTCTGTCTCAATACCTTTCTCCATCTGTCTCACCTACTCATCTCCATCTGCTCCTGTTACCTTCTTCACCTGTCTCACATACCCTTCTCTCTCTCTCTCTCACATACCCTTCTCCATTTGTCTCACAAACTCTTTTCCATCTGCCTCACATACCCTTCTCCATCTGCCTCACATACCCTTCTCCATCTGCTCATAAATCCTTCTCCATCTTTCTCACATACCCTTCTCTATCTGCTCAAATATCCTTCTCCATCTGTCTCACATACCCTTCTCCATTTGTCTCACAAACTCTTTTCCATCTGCCTGAAATATCCTTCTCTATCTTTCTTACATATCCTTCTCCATCAGTCTCAAATACCCTTCTCCATCTGGCTCATTTACTCTTCTCCCTTTGTCTCGAATATCCTTCTCCATCTGCCCCACATATCCTTCTCCATCTGTCTCAGATAACCTTATCCATATGTCTGAAACGCCCACCTCCATCTGTCTCAAATACCCTTCTTCATCTGTCTCAAATATCCATTCTCATCTGTCTCATATATGATTCTACATCAGGCTCAAATGCCCTTCTCCATCTGTCTCACATATCCTTCTCAATCTGTCTTACATATCCAGAACTAAAATTGTGTACAACTGTTTTACCAGTCTAGCTTGTAAACAGGCAGACTGTAAGTTCCTGACCTCTCAGGCAGATACACTCTGGTTGGAGGGGCCTCAGAACCCAGACGGGGAGAAGAACAGTAAGATATGAAACGAATGAACTACATGTAGATTTGCCCTCCACTAGGTCTAACTGTGTTAACGTGCTTGTGACCACAACCCAGCTGGTCCCAGCGCTGGCCAAAGTTCTCCTCTATGGACTTGGAGGAGTCTTCAACATTGACAATATTTACAGTGCTACAAAAATAGGTATGGCATCCTTTCTTTCAGAAGTATGTGGTTGTTCTGTAATTGTACATGGTGCTGTTATGTAGTTAGGACTTAGAGTTAACCCTTATGACTTCAGACATTCTCATTAATTCTCAATTATTAACAAGGACAAAATGTCACCTAATAGAGTTTGACTGGCTAGTTTATCTGTCTGAACCTTTGATAGTTCATGGGGTTGTGTAGTTCACTGGTCCCAACCTTTTATGGAATAATTTACATGTCTGAACCTTTGACTGACCAGTTCAAATGTCTTAACCTTTAATTCGCTATTTCACTGGACAACATTTGACTAACTAGATCATCGGTATCAACCTTTGACTGACTTGTTCACTTGTCTCAACCTTTGACTGACTTGTTCCTTGTCTTAACCTTAGACTGACTTGTTCACTTGTCTCAACCTTTGACTGACTTGTTCACTTGTCTCAACCTTTGACTGACCTATTAACTTGTCTCAACCTTTGACTGACTTGTTCCCTTGTCTCAACCTTGGACTGACCTGTTAACTTGTCTCAACCTTTAACTGAATTGTTCCCTTGTCTCAACCTTTGACTGACTAGTTCATGTTTCTCAACCGTTGACTGACTAGTTCACCCTTCTCTAGATTTTCTAGTTTACTGGACACAAGATTTGACTGACTTGCTCATCGATCCTAATGTCTAACTGACTAGTTTATCGGTCTCAACTTTGAACCCTCAGTTCACTATGATATAAGGTTCTCTGTAATCAGTGTTTGGTTTGCTAGTTTTCCATGGACTCTTTGGCTGGCTAATTTACAGAGTTATGTACATTTAAATTTGGTTTGACAATATTGACCATGTGATAGTATCTGCATGTGTGGTGATGAGAAGATAGACTTTTAGCTGCATGTTTCCGGCTGTTTCTTGTATCTTTACTGTTTTGTTGTTTATAACTTCTTGATTTTCTTATGTGGCAAAGCATTTTACTATTTTAGAGAATCTGATTCTTTAATGGTAAAAATAATTAACACCATAATGTTTTTGCAAACACTTGGAGTCTTCAGCTGGAAAGAGAGGGCCAGTTAGGGGTCAGTGGATGCGAGTGATATCAACAGCAGTAAACTTCAAGGGCTCAGAATGCTGAAGAAGAAGTTTTTATCTTTTAAGCCCCTGCTGTTTATCAAACCTGACTGGCAATTGAACGTGCAGACAAAGTTGCGTAAAAAATAGATTTTATTACTGCACCGTCATTGTTCCTTTTTAGAGCTCGCACACCACTGTCAATGAGAATCCATGATTGACTGAACATTGTCATAGATAAAGTATTATAATCACGTCTGTTCTGTATTCACCCAATCTTTATCTCTAGATTATTGTTTCGTAAGGAGATACTTTCATAATCTTCATTAAACTAGATTGAATATTTTCTTTTGTTTAAAACCTAGATTTACTTAGTGTTATGAATGAGTTGTCTACCCTTGTGGGATGAGTCTCACAACATAATAAAAAATGCTGTTTTGCAGGAAAGGAGAGCTGTTTTGAGCGTATTGTGTCGCGGTTTGGCAGGAAGTGTACATATGTGGTTATAGGCGATGGTAGAGACGAAGAGTCTGCATCTAAACAGGTCGGTGGCTCTGTCTTTGTTTGAAACCTTATGGCTACATTTTTAGTACATTTAAGCTATCATTCAATGTGCCTTTATGATGACTGTACTGTAGTATTGCTGTTTACCTAGTTCTTTGGAGTTAAATGCAAGGTTAATTTTTTTGCTAGACACAAAGGCAGCTCGGCTGTAAACAGGAATAATACATTTGCGTCACTCTGATGAGAGATGATGATAAAGAAGAAGAAAAAGAAGAACACCAAAAAGAAGAACAAGAACTGTGCTCTCCTGTAGACTCTAGCTAAAATTGCTGCCATGTAATGTCCTGCATGTGATATAAAGGCAGGGGTCACGATGACATCATCACCCATCCTGTGCTGATTGGTCTATATATTGGTCTTGAGCCAGAAGCCTGCTGTTGATTAGTCTATATATTGGTAGTGCATCAAAAGCTTGATGCACTAAGGGTGTAATAAAGGCCCTGTACTGCTCTTATAACTTGATGTTGCTGTTTATCAAGCTGATTGCCCGGCTCACTAGTGTTGTTGCTTAAACCTGACTTCACGGGGACTGGGTGACAAACTCCTTGTGGTCTAGGTTCACGCCCCAGTTTGGAAAAAAAAAAAAAACATTTCTCCAAGATTTAGGATATCTATCATGGAATCAAGGCAGAAGGGTTGCGATATCCACAGTACGGGGCCAAAAGATTAACAACTCATGGTTTCTGCATTTAAAAAAAAAGGTGATAAACTTAATGCTTCAGATTATCTTGTCAAAGAGTTGTGCTTGTTGTGTTATATCTAACTTTCCCATAATATTCTACTCTCATTGTGATCTTTATCTAGTGCAACCTTCATACGTGCCCAGTCATTTTGTTAGTTGCCCAGATGTAACCATTTGCCTTATTAACTGTTATGCTGACACTGCGATCTTGTTTTAGTATTCCAGCCACACTGTAATTTACTTTTAATTTGCCTCTGGTGAGCAGGTTATAATTGCAGTCTTCACATCATGTACAACCTTCATGCATGCATGTTGGAGACATCCATTATCATGTCCAATATGTATGTACATTTTTGTGAAATTATCATAATCTTTGACTTTTCATTCAATTGTCCCCTCAGATGAACTGGCCGTTTTGGCGTATAGCGAACCATTCCGACCTGGCTGCCTTGCATCATGCATTGGACCTGAATTATCTCTAGATTGTATGGCCATTGTTTGGTGGTGAGACAAGCACAGAGTCATTGTTTGGTGGTGAGACAAGCACAGAGTCATTGTTTGGTGGTGAGACAAGCACAGAGTCATTGGTTTGAGCAAGGACACATTTTGCTGGTGGAACAAGGATCAGTGTAACATTTGAGCACTGGAACAAGATAATGGTTATTTTTGGGCAAGAGGAAAGCCATAAGTTGAAGCTCCGACAGAAGCAAGAACATTGATAGTTGGACAAGTTCCAACAAAGCCAGACGACCTGCTCATATTTGTTTGAATTGTTATTGGACTACAGGATATGTGCCATGTCTGATGTTGAATTTCCTAATAAGTTTATTTCACAAGTGGATCCATTTGTTGCCTGCAGCTTCTCCTTAGTCTCCATATAGAAGTGATGTTAAGTGATAGCAGTAGATTGCCCTCTACAGACAGGCTGTATCTAATACAACCATTTTGAGCATGGTTATACTGACAATCACATAAGGAGATAATTTACCAAAATCATATGAAATCGTACATTTTCAGCTATATGTAGCTGATTTCCCATGTAAAGCACTTTTTTGGCCGCATTAAAATACATAACATTCTATTAAAAATGATACCGGAGGTAAAGTTTGAGGGGAAGAGAGCCAAATGATGCAAGTGGAAGAACAACACCAACAGATGGACAAACAGCAATCTGAGGATGTACAACCAAGACAAGAGACTGAATATGTTAGAGATCATCACAGCCAACCTTTATTGTGCAGACAACACCTGCCTGAATTGGATTGGATTGGATTTTTTTACCCCACCAGGACATCACACAAGCGATAAACACCCGATGACACAAAGTGCCACCATGCGGTTGAGGATCACCGTGGAGAGGTCCCAGAAACCGCGTTCAGACATTTGGCCATAATGATGACCTGCCTATATTGCGGCCCCTGGCAAAAGCCAGAGTGGGGCTTCAAATAACAAAAAATTACGTCCTAAAAAGGACGTAATGATTGAATAGTTGTGAAAACACCTGCCTGATTAAAAGCAAGCATAATAAGCAAAGAATACCCAAACAGGAAATGGGAACAAAATTATTGAATATGTTTACAGACATAACTTATTTTGAGCTCACATACACGATAAACACCACCTAGGATGGTCAGGGGAATGGCAAAAATCTATTACGGGCAACAAAAAATTAAAGGGGAAGCAAACAGCAAATAACAGAACTGAACAAAAGCTAGTTACCTGTTTACTAGGTTCTAACCACCCAACTACATTCAGCCCAGAGGTCGCTACACACAAGATGTTGTAGCCTGGAAGCAGATAAATGTTGTAGCCTGGAAGCAGATAGATTTTGTAACCTGGAAGCAGATAGATTTTATAGCCTGGAAGCAGATAGATTTTGTAACGTGGAAGCAGATAGATGTTGTAGCCTGGAAGCACATAGATTTTGTAACCTGGAAGCAGATAGATTTTGTAGCCTGAAAGCAGATAGATTTTGTAACCTGGAAGCTGATAGATTTTGTAACCTGGAAGCAGATAGATTTTGTAGCCTGAAAGCAGATAGATTTTGTAACCTGGAAGCAGATAGATTTTGTAGCCTGAAAGCAGATAGATTTTGTAACCTGGAAGCAGATAGATTTTGTAGCCCGGAAGCAGATAGATTTTGTAACCTGGAAGCAGATAGATTTTGTAACCTGGAAGTAGATAATGTTGTAGCCTGGAAGCAGATAAGCTAGATACGTTCTTGGGGATTTCATTCTCAACAGCTGATGTACAGACTGGTTGAAGATGGCATTAATACACACAACTATTGCACAAACAATATTTATCATGACACAGTGTACAATTTTAGCATGACACAACACTGATGTGTTCAAGGCTGCATCATGTCACACAGAGCTGTTGTTACACTCAGGCATAGAAAATAAACTATTTCTTTGTTTGAGAATCCATTTGGGGCAAATTATGGCAACATTAAACATTCAGTGAACATCTACAGAGCAACCATCTTGTTATACAGTTGCTACCTTGTGAACTAAGATTTCTGTCTGTGACTATTGCAAATGACATAAAATGGTCTTGTAGATCAAAGCTCTTAATTAATTATATGTGTTGCTTGTCCTTGAGTAGACTAGTGTATAAAATGTGACATGTGTGTTTGCTGTTTGGTCACATGGTAGCCACATTTGTCACGTATATTCCATAGAGTTACAGACTACCAGAAGTACATACATAAATAAGTACATACATCAAAATAGAGTGAAAAGTACTTGCACCCCTTCATTTGCTACCAGCACTTTCCCTGTCAATTAGGTTGAAAGGTTGAAGTATTTTGACGATTAAATGTCTCAAACCTACCCCTCGCCCCTTTTTTCCTGGGAGAGCGGGTGGGGGGAAAGGGGGGGGGGTGGTTTAACCAACCTAAACCTGATTTGAGCCACATGTACTGTACCCAGTCTGGACATGTAGACATTCCAGAATGTCTCTACACAGACGCCAAGTGAAACATAACAATTATTTCACATAAAGCCCATTCTAGACAATTTAGACAGGCACTCAGAACAGATTGATCAATTACCTCAGTGTTAGTATTAATATTTGTTTGTTTGCCTCCTCCCGCTGTTATACTGTTTCTTAGGGATCTCGTTAGTCTTGTTTCAGAACATGCACATCTGTTTTACATATCTGGCATATTTGTATGTAGACTGTTGGTTTCTTGTCTCTCATGCAGATGCACTCCGACTTTGACAGAAACACCACTAATTAGTCGACTTTCACAAAATGCTTGTTGAAAAAATAAGGGAGCGGGGCGACAGGTAGTGGTTCTATTCCCTCCTGAAAATAAATTGTGTGTTTACTTGTAATACCAGTTCAACATCTGACTGATTGTTTCACATAAATCAGTTAATCACAGTTTATACTTGTGCACTGAAATGTAGCATCATAGTATCATATTTATCTCTCTCAGGAGATACTTGCTCATTTTATTTTCTATGATACAACATTTATGATTTTCTAATTCGAGTGCTTTCAGCATATTGGTAAAGTTAAAAAACAAATGTATATAGAATTGCTGAAGAATTAATGTACCTATGTGGTTTTGTTGATTTCATAAGCAAAATATTGTATTCTTGTGAACAATTCTTTGGTGAACTATACGTCTTTGTATTAGTTGCACATTAGTGCACTTAATGTTGTAATGTCACATATGTTGATTAAAGTACACAAATTTCAAGAAAGTATGTAGAAACAAATGGCTAACTTGTGTATGTGCCCTGAAAAATAATGTAGATTTTACTATGATGATTTCTTTGCTCAACACTATCTAACTTCAGAATACACAGAAATACATTGACAGACTGCCATGAATGTTGGCTTCAATGAATACCACAAAATACTTGACTGCAATTTTCAAATAAGGCAACACACAACAGAGATTTAGCATAGCCATCAAAGAGCAATAGTGAATATTTTTGACCACAATATGAGTAGATGACAGCTGGGACGTGCAACATATGGTAGGATTAATGGTAGCTTAGATTAAGATGTAAACAGATTTTAAAGTCACTTTTTTATCAACACTTTTACTCAGTTTCTTCTTCGCCCATGAAAGTTTAGTTGGCAGGTTGTAATGTCACTTACAGCTTGGCTGCTATATTCTGCACATTTGGCCCCACTCAACCATTTTCAACAAAAACCCTTTTTTGTCGCCCCTTTTGACATGCTTGTTAGGGGCAGTTTGTATTTTTGTTATACCATATGATACTGGGTGAGAAAGAAATCAACAGCTTCGTGCATACAGTGCACACTAGATAGAACACTGCATTTTCAAGAAATGTTAAATTATAGTTGTTTCAAAGATCACTTTTCATTTATAGTACTGAGCTGAAAATAATGTTTTCAAGTAAGCAATCTTTGCTCCTGAGCACATGTTAGCATCTTTATACATTAAATCACTAAGCAAGTGAAATACAAGAGCGTATACTGGCTGGGATTTTAGAGTAATGTTTTATTCCATTCCTGATTAACATTTCAGTCAGTTGTCATCTGAACTAATGTATCTTGTAGCAACAGATTCTTCTCATCACATGTTCCCTGTTACATTCTATGTATGACCGTTCTATTGTGTTTGTTTAAACTTCTGCACTCCTATAGCCTGTCCTCGACTTCTTATTTAGTCTTTGTATGTCCAAGTGGCAAATTTGATACTAAACTAAAACATCCTAAAATCAGGCCATGGTTGGTAAGGGAATCATATACATAAATTAGGGAGATGACCATAGTAAGACATTCCAGATACAAACTGCACCAGTTAACCAAGCTTAGACAGTCCAGATACAAACTGCACTAGTCAACCAAACTTAGTCCAGATACAAACTGGACTAGTTAACCAAACTTAGTCTAGATAAAAACTGCACCAGTTACCCAAGCTCAGACAGTCTAGATACAAACTGCACTAGTTACCCAAGCTTAGACAGTCCAGATACAAACTGCACTAGTTAACCAAGCTTAGACAGTCCAGATACAAACTGCACCAGTTAAACAAGCTTAGACAGTCCAGATACAAACTGCACCAGTTAACCAAGCTTAATCAGTCCAGATACAAACTGCACCAGTTAACCAAGCATAGACAGTCCAGATACAAACTGCACTAGTTAACCAAGCTTACACAGTCCAGATACAAACTGTACCAGTTAACCAAGCTTAGACAGTCTAGATACAAAATGCACTAGTTAACCAAGCTTTGACAGTCCAGATACAAACTGCACCAGTTACCCAAGCTTAGACAGTCTGGATACAAACTGCACCAGTTAACCAAGCTTAGACAGTCCAGATACAAACTGCACTGGTTAACCAAGCTTAGACAGTCTAGATACAAACTGCAGTAGTTAACCAAGCTTAGTCCAGATACAAACTGCACACTAGTTACCCAAGCTTAAACAGTCCAGATACAAACTGCACCAGTTAAACAAGCTTAGACAGTCCAGATACAAACTGCACCATT